GTCCCCACTGGCATGCTCAACTCAGACAGTGCTGATGTTGTTTTATATTCTCTACGTGAGAAGTACTGAGACACTGACAAGTTGATAGTTCCCAGATGGGTGACGGTCAGTATTTTGCTTTTTTGTAAATAGGATGATAACTTGTTTTGCCAATTTTCTAACTGTTGTTGTTCTTTTTGTACAACAGACCAAGATCCGTGATGGAAATATTGATTCCAATCTGTTAAATTAGTTCACGAGATCAGGTGCTGATGGTTTCGACAAAGTAGGTGAACTTGGACTTTTTGTACTCATTAACTAGAACTGTCATATTTTCTTTGCAGTTTAGGGAGGTGTGGGAATGAACTTGATTAGCCTGCTTTTACACCTGTACTTATGAATGATCCGTGCTTTTTATTAAAGATGCACTTATTATTGCAAGGAAACTGAACTGATATGCTTGTTCCTCAATTTTGGGCGGTGGATATAATTTCTTTATGATTATGTGATTTTTTGTTTGTACTTCTGAATTTCAATTTCCCTCTTTTATTTTATTGTTTGGAGGCTGAATTTTTTGTTTCATTATGATTTGGTAAATTCATTTTTCCTCTGCGATTTTTTTCCAGCTTCTTTTCCCTACATTTGATCCGCCGTCATTTGTGGCTACCATGAAGCCTAGCGAAGCATCTGGGCATTGGTGCTTGGTTGTTCTGAATTTGAGGTTCCGTCGTTTCGAGTGTCTTGATTCACTCCGTGATGAAACCTGGGGTGATGCAGTTAGATTCTTAAGGAATATGACAGATAATATAAAGAAGCTTTGGAGGGAGTCCACTGTAGACAGGGCCAAACCGTTCTCACCGGTGCATATTGATGGTTTCTCTTGCGAGTTTGTGCGGGTGCCTCAACAGGAAAACACGTGAGTATCCGTGTTTTAATGATTTTTGTTGGTTGTTTTTGTTGCTGGGTGGATGTTGTTCCTGTATTTTCCGGATTTTGTGTTGTACCATTTTTTTGTTTTTTCCTTTGTTTACAGGCATGATTGTGGATTCTTTATGCTACAAAACTGCAAGACCTATTATTGCCGGGAGGATGGTGTAATTGAAATGGTCAATTACAACAATGAAGACATTCTGGACATTAGGAAGACTTTGATGTACACCTACGCAACTAGCGATGTGTTTGATGTTGACTTCCGGGGTTTGTTTGGCATCGAACCTTGTACGTGTGCATGGACTTTTGTATTTTTTTTGCAGCTTGTACTTCTCTATTTTAGTACTGTCATGAAATATGTATTTGAACTTACGCTTTGTGTGGTCTTCCTTTTTTTATTTTTTTTAGGTGAGTGGCTGGATCTTGGTGAGCATGACTACAGGTTCTTTGGTAGCCAGTTCTCGAAGCTCGAGCGCGTAGCTACTGATCTTAGCCAGGGGCGTTCTCCCGAAAAGACAAGATCTGGTGTTATGAAGGGGCGGTTGGGAGCTCTGAGAAGTTCTATGGCTGCTTGTGCAGAGAGCCCTACTACACCCAAGAATCCCATTGTCAAATTGATAGACAGTGATGATGATGTGTTTGACAAGATTGCTGGCGTTGGAAGAGTCACGAGGAGTGCTGCTGCCAAAGGTTTATCTCCCCTTGCTGGAATAGTGGCTCATAGAGCTGGTGGTGCTAGGAAAGATCCTGCTTTGGAATCTGGCAATGTTGTAAGCACGAAGCATGCGCCCAGAGCTCCTATAAAGTTTTGCTCCCCTGTGCAGCAGCTTCACCCTCATAAATTCCCTCACCTGGATAAGGCTCGCAGGTTGTATAAGCTATTGCTTAGTGATGAATGGCGTGAGAAGTATGCCGAGTGAGTATCTCTCATTATTTTTCCTCTTCTTTTTCTTTTGTTGTTTGTAACTGCTAGGTAAATATGACCTGAACTGTTCCTTTTCATACAACTCGAACTGCTATGAATGCCTTATCTTGCTTCTCCTTCTTTTTGTTCTTGTGTGTGCTGCAGGAATACATTCTCAATGATACCTCAGCCTGATGGAAACGTAACTGACTTCACTGGGAATCGCATCTAGGAAGTTTTCTCACCTGGGCAAATGATGGAGGGTGATGTAATGGACTTCCTCATTGATTATTGGAAGCAAGATCCTGAGAGAAATAGTGATTTTGCATCTGGGAAAAGGATATTGCCGAGTCCATATTTCATCTCGGTAATCAATCAGATCGGTTTCTTTCTGTTGAACAAGACTGCCTATTGTTTTTACGAGTTTTAATAATACTTTTGCTTGTTGACCCTTTACCGCTGTCTATTTTCTATTTTGGCTTTTTTGCAGGTTGTGCTTGACTGTTCATTTTACGAGGATGAAAATAAAGTGTTTAATGTGGAGAGTGCAGCGAGAGATTTCAAGAGCTATGTTAAAGCTAACGAAGAATTGCTCAGTGCCGACCTTGTGAGATCTACTAGCTGATTTTTGGTTTTTATTTGTTTGTTGTGATGCTGGTTTTTATTTTGAATATTTAACCTCTCTTTTTTGGTCATTTGTTTTTAGATCATGATGCCTCTATTCAAGCCTATGGTTTTATCAAAGGATAGGAAAGTGAACCACTATTCCTTATATGTCATGAATCGGTACCGAAGTAGCGTTGACATCCTTGACTCTTTACCTTATTCGAAGAACCACCATCCTTCGAAGAATACCTATCACAAAGACTGCGAGAAGATTGTGAGTGACATTTATCATCTGTACTGGATTAATATTTCTGCATTTTTGTTTCTGCTTTTTTCTGAGACCTAAAACTGTGTGGGTTGTTTTGTTTTTTACAAATTTCTAGAATGGTCAAAGTAATGAAGGATGTGTATGGTGATGCTCAGTACAATGCGAGCAAGCAGCCCAATTGGGAGCTGTTTGCAAAGAAACCAACCTTTGTCAAGGTTCCAGTTCAAGGGGAAAATGAATGTGGCCATTATACTCTGAAGTATGCGGGATGCTACGATGGTGAAAAGATCGTTGAGAACATTCGAGATTATGACGTGGGTTCTTGTTGAGCTTTTCTCTTTCTGTTTTTGGCTTATTGTGTATCCTTTTTTTATGTGTCATGATTTTTGATAATTTGTTTTATTGTTTTGCAGCCACGCATTGTTGATTGGAACGCTGAGGATCTGTATAGAGTTGTGTTCAACCGGAATAGCCAGCTTGTGGTGACGGAGCTTCCCAAGGAGGTTCAGGCTTTGGCTCCTAATGCATAGTCGAAATGGTCATCATTTGCATAGTGAATGGGATAGTTGTGTGATATATCTCTTGAAAACATTGTAGGCTCTATTTGTAGTGTTTGATGTCTTGTCGAGTACTATGTAATAACTAGTATTTTTTGTGTTGTGTTTAAGTGTGGCACAATGTTTAACAAACTTTTTTTCCATGATGATTGTGTGGTTGAATAGCTGTTTCACTTGTGTATGTTTCATCGGGAATTCATTTTGGTTAAGTTTTATTTTTTGTACTGAAGACTTATATACTAGTTGAACTGAAAACACCTGTTTTTTCAAGTGTATTTATGAGTTGTTGCTGAGAAAGTGAGATTTATTTTATTTTTATCTGATTCCAACCTAAGTTGGACCTTTATAGTTTCTGTACTCTCGTTTTCTTGTACTTATGATATAGTTCTGTTAGTACTGATTTGTAATCTCATTCAGCGTAAGGCTTTTAAAATTTGGTGCCAAATTTTTGTTTGAACTTATTGAACTTTAGTAGTTGAACTTCATAGTACAAGTTAAAGCACTGGTTTAAATTAGCTACGTTTAAGAGATAGCCCTATTAAGTTCAAAACTACTTCTTTCTCGAGGCATTAATTGGTATCATCATAGCACTTACCGAATAAACTAAGTTGTACTGAGATTTCAATTGTGCTAGTACTTTGATTAATTATTTACTTTTTGTGTTGTTTGAGGCTAGTACGTCTTCCTGTTGTGTTTCTTGTGATTTTTCTCCTTTGTCGAACTTATATCTTTTTGATTTAGTTTTTGGCCTTCTTTTTTGCTAGGCTGTGGTTCTTCTCCAGGCAATGTTTGGTATAATCCTAGCACTTGCCGTATAGTCTTAGTTGTACTGAGATTTCAGTTGTATTATTACTATTATTCTTAGTGTGTCACTGTTTTAGGGAATGCGAACTGAAGCTTCCCGTTCCTTCTTATATTTTGTAGAATGAATGTACCATGTGTTCAAGTGTACCAGAACTTTCAGTCCTAGCATGCTAGTTACTAGGAAATACGTACTCATGGTTCTTTGCTTTTCCTGTTGCAGTACTTAGTGAATTTCTAATTTCTATTTTAGCACGATGCTTTTAGTACTGAATGTTGTCCTTGGCCGAAACTTAGTCTTTTAGTGTTCTTCTGAAACTAAAAACTGGTTTTTTAGTGTGATAGTACTACCGTTCATGTCTAAGCTGTACTGAGCGTCTAAGGCTACTATTTGCTTTTGTCCTTAGTTAGTCTGCCACTGTTTTTTTTGCGAAAATATTTATGTGTTATTTTTATTTCTCCATGACTAGTGCTGCATGGCGGCCATCAAGTTTCAACTTCAACCTAGTTCAACTTCAAATGATGGATCAACAAAATAGGAAGCTAGCAAACTTGTTGGATGACATAAGCAAACGATGTACTTGATATACATAGGCAAACTTGTTCAAACCCTGACATACATAGCATAAGGTAGCTGGTTCAACAAAACGAAAGCAAACTACAAATCTGAAACAACAAGATTAAGGACACAGATAGCATATGGTAGCTGGTTCAACATAACAAATGCAGACTTTCATGCATCTTCATCCGCGAAGTTGCAGTGGTAGTAGGGGTCAACCTCCTGCTCTTTTGAAACATCCCAACCTGTCACAATGTTGTCGATTGTCTTCCATGACTTGTACGTTGTGTACGCATCTATTCCTGCGTACGTGATGAGGTTGTCTGGTAGCAGGCTGGTCCCCCACAGTTTGTGGTCTTCCCTCTTCATCTTATTCTTCATGCCTTCGTAGAATGGCTAGATGACGCCGCCTGCAACATCGGCCAAGGAGTCATAATATTTGTTGGTCTTTGGATCTTTCCACTTGCGCTGCATGTCGATGAAGTTGTTGGGATTGATTTCCAAACCAGACTTCCCCAGCTTCTGCTTGTCACCTCCAATGTTGAAACCAACAAATGTGTACAATTTCTCCTCCTGCAGGAAGTCTTTGAGGCGCTTGGGCCTGCAAGGGGGGAGACACACATTTTCTAAAGATTAGTCTTCTTTTTGAGTATTTAATTCTTCTGCTTTGTTGAATAAAAGAGTCCTAAAATTAAATTCAACTACACCGTGTTATATTTTTCTTTTTTGCTATCTTCGTTGCTTCACCAAATGCTTCACCAAATTAGAGAATCATTTTACCAGAGTCAATGATTCATGTGATGCTTGATTCAAGTTTAGTTTTCTTTTTTGTTGAATAAAAGACCTATACCAGTGCTTGATACATCTTTGTGCATTAATTCTATATCAAGTTCAAAATTTAGTTTGAGAAACATGTGCATCAAGATATGGACCTATACCACTTCACCAAAGATCTTTTAATACATCAATTCTATAAACTATACTAGTACATCAAGATCAGAAACTATGCTACTACATCAAGTTCAGAAATTAATTTGGTGCATAAAGTTCAGAATGCTATAAACTTTTTTCAGATGCTAATGTGGTGAAACAATCCACTTCACAGTTTCAGAAATGCATGTAACTTGAGAAACATGTAATCATGCATCCACTTCATAGACTATAGTAGTTCATAGCATTCAATGAACTACTGGTACAAACAGATAACTATAATCGTTGGGAAACAAGTTTTAATTAAGTTTTTAGTGACTAGTACTGGTACAACAGATGAATGAACAGTAGTATGGGTTACCATTTTGTGGCTGCTGCGATGTGGTACACCAAGCATAGTTCCTCGTCGCACAACTGCAGGACTCCCGCCATCTGTGGAGGTTTTTCCTCGTCGGTGTACTCCACATCAACTCCGATGAAGCTCAGATACAAGCCGCCGCCCTTCATCCTGAGCCTGCTCATCATCTGGTCGGCCTTTTCAGGTTCGCTGGTGCAGACGATCTCCAACGTCTCCTTGCCGTGGAGCTCAACCCCTTTGAGCGTTTTGGTGTACTCGTGCTTCTCGTCGGGGACGTGAACGTCGGCGAGGTTGCTGCTCTTGTTCGAAGTGTCGCCATGGTGACGTTTGGCGGATAGTTCCTCCGCCATCGCCTTGCTCCGGCGACTGTGGGCTTGGGAGAGAGAAGTTTTTGGTTTGTGTGCAGTGTAGATGGAAGCGGCAATGGTGGTTCTATGAATGAGGCAGAGATGGAAGACAATGGGGTATTTTTGCAGTGCGTCGACGGTGGTGTGTTGGAGGCAGTTCGTCGGGGACATGGGTGTAGTGGTCGTGGGGTCGCCGTTCTGCAGTGCGTCGTGGCAACCACCCAGTGGGTGGCGCGGGTGGTGTCCTGGAAGAACTAACCGTCCAAGACAATTTTTTTACTGCTGCACTGATTAGTCTTGTCAAGCTGTACTTACGATCTGCTAAATCCCACTTGCACGTCTCTGCGGTGGTAATGATGGCATTTCACACTATTTAGGTGACGTATGGCTCTGTGATGTTTTTCCGTGTGGATGTTTAAGCATTGTTTTTCTATTGAAGTCTTTATACACTAGTTTATGTCAAAACATTTTTTCAGTGCCCTGTGAGTTGTTGGTCAAAAGTTATACTTATTTTATTTCATCTGTACCAACCTAGGTTAGGCCTTTATAGTTTTTGTATTCTCATTTTTAGTGCACTTATGTTTTAGTACTGTGTGAACTGAATTGTAATTCATACAGCGCACGGGTTTGAAATTTGATGTCACAGTGATGCGAGCGGCCTGACTGATCCTGATGTTTTAGCACTAATGTCGTATGTATGTTTTGAACTAATTTTTTTATAACTTAGGTTGGGGGTTTGAGATTATTTTACGACCAGATTGTTCATTGTGGTGTGGACATATTTTATATAAATAAGAAATTTAGCAGAATTGACAAATATATTCTATTTGAACTTTTTGAATTTTAGTAGTTGAACTTGTAAAATTTTATATAAATAGGAAATTTAGCATAATTGACAAACATTATATGTTTGAACTTTTAGAGTTTTTAGTAGTTGAACTTATCAGATTTTATATAAATAGGAAATTTAGCATAATTGACAAAACATTATATGTTTTGTACTTTTAGATTTTTAGTAGTTGAACTTGTCAGTTTTTCTATAAATAAGAAATTTAGCATAATTGACAAACATTATATGCTTGAACTTTTTGAGCTTTAGTAGTTGAACTTGTCAGATTTTATATAAATAAGAAATTTAGCATAATTGACAAACATTATATGTTTTAAACTTTTTGAGTTTTAGTAGTTGAACTTGAAAGTAATATTTAATTCGGTTTTTTAAATTATGTACATTTAACAGATAGGCTATTAAGTTCTGTTCTTTTTTAGAGGTTCATTGTTTTTGTATCATATTTTTTTCCTTTTTTCTTGTATAGGTTAATTGACAAACATTTTTCTTGTAGTTTATTTTTCTTTGTCCCGCCATCTGGTTTGTATACCTGGGCTTATTGGTGGTGTGTTTTGTTGACGATGTAGGCTATTGGGCCGTTTTCCAGCCCAGATAGCTCGTCCGCGCGACTATGCAGTGCGTCGTGCGCGTGCGCTCTGGGTTTAGTCCCACCTTGCTAGTCGAGGGGGCTCCGGACCTGTTCATAAGCGCAGTGGAGGCTCACCAGTCGAACTCCTCTGAACACTTACCTGAGCGCTTATACACGGCCCTCGCCCTCTCTCTTGACCTATGGGCCCTGGTCGGCGGGTCCTGCGTTGTGCGGATTACTAGGGATTCACCCACGGGCTCGAGTTCAAGTATCTAGCATTGTCACGGCCTGCGCCTGACCTTGGGCGGTCATTTTTTTTGTTTGTTTGAATCTAGTACTTGACTCCACCAGTAACTTGGACTGATACTTTTTCTTCTAGTTCTTGTCAGTTTTGTGTGAGTGTAATCCTTTTCATTTGAGTTTTTTGCCTTCTTTTTTGTGTTTGTTTTTGTGATTATTCTCAAGTGTCTTTTGGTGTCATTTTCAGAACTATGTTACTTGCGTGTAGACTGAGTTGTACTGATAGTGCATTCATAGTAGCGCTTACGGACTGATGCTTCTTTGTACTTTTTATTTTAGTAAGAATGTACTATCCGATCAAGTGTACTGAGTTGTACTGACACGGAACAACGTTGTGTGATTAGTTGCATCATAACTAGTACTTTAGAGCAACGACAACGTTCCATTCAGAAGCTACTTTTGAATTTTTGAAATGATGGATTAACAACATATGAAGCTACCAAACCAAACTTATATAATGAGATAAGAAAAACATTGTACTTGATGACATAACTAAACTTGTTCAAACATGACAAGAACAACATAATCACACTGGTTTAACCCAACAAGAGCAAACTACTAATTTGAAACAACAAGATAAAAGGCAAGCACAATCGGAAGTAAAACGAAGGCAGGCTCTGATGTTATCTTCATCTAGTAAAGGGGCATTAGGGGCGGTCGTAGAAGTTTTCAGCCTCCCGCTCTTTCGCATATTCCCAACCGTCTGTGATGTAGTCAATCATGAACCATGATTTGTATGTGGCGTACGCATCTACTCCTGCGTACTCGATGAGGTTGTCTGGCAGCTCGCTGGTCCCCCACAGTTTGTAGTCTTCCTGCGTGTTGATCTTGTTCTTCATGCCTTTGTAGAATGGGTGGATGACGCTGGTTGCAACATCAGTCAAGGAGTCGTACTCTTTTCCGGTGTATGGAACTCTCCACTTGCGCTGAATGTCGATGAACTTGTTGGGGTTGATCTCCATACCGGACAACTTCAGCTTCTCTTTGTCGCTTTCAATGCTGAAATCGGCAAATGTGAACAACTTCTCATGCTGCAGCATCTCGGTCAGGCGCTTGGGCCTGCAAGGGCAGAGACATTTTGAATATTAGCATTACTTTGATGTTTTGAATTATTCATTTTTGTTTTGTTTTACAAGCGATGAATCCATGAAGTAGTTTTTTATGTAGGATAAACAATGGATGAATGTACTTCAAAAACTAGTAAAGAAAGTTCTGAAATTAAATTAAGTACATCATGTTATTCTTCTTCTTGGATTATACATAGTTTCAGTCAATGTTGTATGTTCTGCATTGGCACTAGTTTAGTCTATTTTGGTTGAAGTGGGATAACACAGAAACCAGTGCTTCACCAAGTCCTTAGTTTATTTTCTTACGAAAATAACACTAGATCAAATTCAGAAAATACTTCACTACATCAAGTTCAGAAACATCTTTTTTAATACATCGAGTAGATAGACTACTCTATTGTATCAACTTCAGAAACTTCACTAGTCGATCAACTTCAGAATTTAATCTTCCGTAAGATTTTCCAAATAGTAATCCATTGCATCAGGTTCATAAATACATTTATAGTATATCTACTTGAGAAAATGCAGTAGTGCATCCACTTTTCACAAACCACACTAGTACATCTAGTTGGGAAAGCAAGTGTGATTAATTTTTTAGGATACAGTAGTAATAAAATAGATAAACCATATGCAAGGCAAATGAGTAGGATTGCTCACCATTTTGTGGCCGCTGCGATGTGGTACACCAAGCAGAGTTCGTCGATGCACAACTGCAGGACTGCTGCCTTCTGGGGAGGTTCATCTTTGTTGGTGTAGTGCACACCAACGCCGACGATCCTACGAAACCTGCCGCCAAGCATCCTCCAAAGCCTGGAGATCACCTCTTCGGCCTTTTCTGGTACGCTGGTGCAGACGATCTCCAGCGTCTCGTTGCCGTGGAGCTCAACCCCTTTGAGGGTTGTTGTGTACTCGCGCTTCTCGCCGGGGACGTTAATGTCGACGAGGTTGCTCCTCTTGTCCGACATCTCGGCATGATGACGCTTGGCGGACGGTTCCTCCGCCATGGCCTTCCTCCGGCGACTGTGGGCTTTGGAGAGAGAAGTTTTTGGTTTGTGTTCAGTGGAAATGGAAGCGGCAATGGTGGTTTGTGGGAACGAGGAGAGGTGGAATAGAATGGGATTTTGTGCAGTGCGTGGACAGGGATTTTGCGGGAGGCGGTTCATTCGGGGTCGTGTTTGTAGTGGGTGTTGTGGCGTGGGGTCACCGTTTGCAGTCCCTTGTGTTAACCGCTCAGTGAGTGGCACGGATGGTGGCGTGGAAGAACTAACCATCCAAGTGAAATAGTTTTTACTGTTGAACTAACTAGTCTTCTCAAGCTGTACTTATGACCTGCCAAATCCCACTTGCACGTCTCTGCGGTGGTGATGATGGCATTTTACTGTGGCACCGATTCGTATAGTCAAGCTGTACTTATCAGCTGCTTATCCCACTTGCACGTGTCAGCGTCGGTGTTGATGGAGGCCTGAACTCCTCTACTGTCGTACTCGGACTGGTGATTGAAGTGTAATTGAACGTACCAAATACCAGTGAGACTATGTGTGGTGCTAATGTTTTTTTAAAACAATTTCCGTATTTTTTTAAAGGATTGTTTATATCAAGATAATCTGTGAGTAGTTTTTACAGATAAATTAGATTTTCACCAGTACAGGATGTATTATATTCACATTTTACTTGAGGCAATTATTTTCATGTACTGATGGTGTTTCTGAATTGGGACTGGCAGGAGCAGGCATAGCTTTGTTTTTTCAAAACGATTTTTTTGAGTCGTTAACTGGTGTGTTTGTTTTACTATGCCTTTTGTACTGCCGACTGAGATTTATCAGTACTGATGTACTACAAGAGTTTATATTTTTCCTTGGCATTTTTTTTGTTGCTGAGTTACTGGTTGACAGTAGCATTTTGCGTCAGATATATCCATATAAGTTTTTTCAAATTTATTTGTGACTGCATTCAAAAGGATTATCAAATGGTTTAAATAATAATGTCACTGCTTCAGCGGGCACAAATCAGAAATTATATCAGTACTGATGTGTACTCAGCCTTGTACTGACGTCTGAGAGTTATCAGTACTGATGTACTACAAGATTTTAAATTTTTCATTGACATATTATTTTTCCTGAGTTACTGGTTCACAGTATCATTTTGTGTCGGATATATCCAGATAAGTTTTTTCAAACGTATTTTTGTGACTGCTCCAGCGGGCACAAATCAGAATCTAAAAAATAACTTTAGTTCTGATCGAGAGTAATCGACATTAAAGCTAAATAAGTTTTGGTAACGACAGTGTTTGTGAAATGCTTCATCATTGTGTGCTGATGCGACTGAGACGACAAGGTTATTTTTTAATTGACGCAGCAGAATAACCACTATGTATTGTTCAGTCTTGAGCTTCTCCTAACTGTCCCTGAATGTTGTGCCTTGCCAGCGCTCTTTCCAGGTTGAGCCTTGGCAGCTTCATCGTCAGTTTCAGTTTCCTCGCCTCCGACACTGTCATCTTCATTGTCTTCATCTGATTGGCCATCATTCTCATCAAACTCTTCCTCTTCATTGTCTTCATTTGATTGCTTGGAACTCTGTACCTTGCCCTGTTTATGTTCAGCTCCACCGACCTCCTTGCCCACTTTGCACGTGCGGGCATTATGTCCGTCAGTTCCGCCACACTTGCGGCAAGTGTAGCTGTTACGTGTGCTGTCTCCATTTGTAGAAAGCTGGGTGGCTCCAATCTGGTTGTTCTTGTTGACAGTGACATCTATGCGGAGTGGGCATGTGCGGTAGTTATGGTTGCTCACGACGTTGCAGAAACCGCATGCCCTTATCCCGAGGGGTTTGCCGTTCGGGCCAAATTCCACGCGCTTGATGGGGCGTGGTGGCTTTTTGGCTGCTGCTTGCGTCTTGCTCTTCCTCCCCTTTGTGTTTGAGAATATTGGGGGTTTAATCACCCTTTCCTGCTGCTGCTGGTAGGATGTGCTATTGTCATGTCGTTCGCCTACAGCACCATCAAGCTCATGATCTCGCATGTGAGTTTGTCGGCGCTCTTGAGTGTGCACATGGGCAAGCTCCGGTTGCTGCTGCTCTTCTTCCTTGTTCTCAAACGGGTCAATAGATCCCAGATGGTTCATCTCGGATAACATTGTAGCAATATCCTAGTCAATGGCTTCATTGTCCGCGACCTCCATTTTCAGCAGAATGCATGGCCTCGAGTTCTTGTTCAAGTTTGTCCATGACGACCCGCAACCTTGCCATTTGCTCTTGGCTTCTCAAGCTTTTTCTGTGCACCCTCATGTTCAGCGTCAGCAATGAGCTTTCAATGCAGTATTGCGATGCCTTGTTTGACGCTACTGTCCTCAAGTCATTTCTGTCAAATGTTGGCTGGATGTTCGGGCATTTGGTGTATCTCCTGAGTATGTATTTCTCTGGAATGCTGGTAGCCTTAATTGTCTGCATCATGCACAGGACATGCACGCAGAAAAGACCTGTATTTGTTTTTGGAAGAGGTGCAAGTTTTTTGTCATTTCATTCGAACAAAAACTTTGCAAAAAAAGTAGTACAGTATGTAACATCTTTTTTGTACTCCTCACCTGTGTGGTCCCATATCCTGCACTCGCACTCATATGTTTCTCCCACGGGGTCTGCCACCACCTGGAACGCATGCTGAGCCCACACAGACAGTTTTTGCGGGTGGTTGTAGCGCACTAGGTACTTTGTGGGCTCTTCCGTCTCTCTCGCCGTGAAGAGTGTGCTCAGCTTCAGCCTATCTCTGATCTCGCTGTACACAGCTCGTGTGTACAGCTTTGCCATCTGGGTGTCAAACCCATAGTAGGTCAGCGTGTTTTGTTCCTTCTACAAATGCAAGAATGATGACCAAATTGTTAGTTTTCTCGCAGGAAAAACTTCTAATAAAGTTTTTTCTTTAGTAAGCATGTTATTTTTTGTCTTACAACAAGTGATAGAGCTATACCCGGTTACCCATTGTCTCCTTGTTCTCTGTCTGCCTCCTGGTTTTGACGCAGGAGTTTACCTGGCTGACAAACCGGTGTAGGTTATGTCTCTCATTTATGTAGTTCTTCTTGAGTACATAGTTCATGCTCTCACTTCGCTGTGTGGATGTCATTTTGGCGCAGAAAATTTCTTTGAAGTAGGCTGATATCCACTTTTCACGCTCGTTCCACATGCCCACCATTGTGGCATCATCGTGGAGGTTGTACTTATCCATGAGTCTTTTCCAGGCATCCTCAAACTTAGTTGGCATGAGGGGCCAGTTGAGAATTGATGTGAATTCATCTTTAAGGTCCTCGTGCAGGAAATATAGGTACGCAAGGTGTTCCCTGTACTTCTTCATAATGTGCCAGCGGCATAGCTTATGTACTGTGTTCTTGAAAACATCTGCGATCGCCAAAGCCATTGCCGGGCACTGGTCTGGTAATGAGAAAATAGACTCTAAGTGGTCAGCAGAGATGGTTGTGCATATATACCAATAGAACTGACACAACTTTTTTTTACTTTTCTTTTTTGGAAGGGGGGTGGTGGTTGGGGGTGGTTTTAGCGGTTGTACCTGTGAGGATGCATGTAGGAGCCTTCCTTCTCATGCACCTTAAAAATGTCTTAAACAGCCACTTGAATGAATCTGCATCCTCATCTCTTATCAGGGCAAAAGCAAAGAATGTTGTCTGTAAGTGGTTGTTAGTTCCGACAAACACCCCAAGTGGCATATGGTACTTGTTGGTCTTATATGTTGTGTCAAACGTTATGCAGTCCCCGAAGTCCTGATACGCCCCTCGGCAGCTTGCGTTCGCCCAGAATATGTTCTTAACTCTGTCGGACTCATCGAGTTGCATGTCACAGAAAACTTCCCTGTTTATAGCTTTCATCTCCCTAAAGAAGTTGACAGTCTTTAGGACATCGTCCACATCATCAATCCTTGAATTCTTTGCTTTCCTGCATATCAAAAGTTCATTGAAAAATGCATGTTGAACTGGCGTCAGGTCATGCGTTGCGTGATATGTTTGTACTGACAGAGGAAAAAAGACGGAGACGGTTTATGGGAGGAGAACAAGTTTGTACTTACAGGTTAATCAGGTCTTTGGCGTTCATTTCGAGGAAGTAGCTACCAGGGTCATCACCACCCAGTATGCTCATGATTTGTGCGTGTTCAATGCCTTTGAACTGCAGGTACTTGACGTACTCCAAGATTGTTTTGTCAAAGTTTTTGTGGGAGTGCAAGAAGACAAGCATTTCTGCGGTGAGCTATAGCCCGTGGTTGTGTTCCCAGACTATCTCTTTTACGACAAATGTTCCATCCTTTTCCTTCTTCAGCCTCATTTTAGCCCAACAGTTAGTTCTGGCTGTCGTCTTGTTACGCTGTCTATTTGCTTCAGACACCTTTGATTCATAAACTCCATGGCACGTGCAATAAAGGTAGGCTCTGGTCTTAAACTTGGGGCCTTCCCTGACAGCAAAACCAGCGTGCTTTGCATATACATTGTAGAAGTTCTTAGTTTCTTCGAAAGTTTCAAACCTCATCTCTAGCCTTTGCAGAACATAAGCTTCAATATCAGGTGGCTGCACACAACGGTGACCAAACAAAAAGTTAGATGGGGTGGTCACAGCACCATGGTATGGACTGTGCTTATGTTTTTTTTCTATATGGATACTTACATGTGTATAGCTCTGCGTTGCATCTGGTGTTTGTTGTTCTCCCTGGTTTATGGGTGCCGGTGGTGTCACCCTTGGCACATGCAGCAATGCATCTCTTGGAGGGAGCAATGTTGACGAAGATCTCCGTCTTTCGTTGTACGGTTGTCTCCCCTCAGATTCATTGTGAGGTTGTTCCTGTCTATATGGCTCATATCTTGTACCTTTGAACCTGCTAGATTGGCCAAAATTTCTGTCTTTTTGCCCTGGTCTTCCCGTCGCAACTGCTCTTGCAGCACGGATGATTCATGTTGACGGAGCGACTGGTGGAAGCCTTATTGCAACCCATCCACGGCTTCCTGTCCTTGGCTTT